ATTTTCTGCGTGGTTTTCTGTTGGTATGTGGGTGGATCATTAGGGATAGCAGTTCTAATGGTGTAATACAGGAAAAAAAACAGTTCTGAAGTAGTTTATATGATTTGAATGTTTTATCGTAGTTGCTTTTTACACCCATCAAATCAAATTATTTTATCCACTATAGGTTTAAATTATTATAGACGGTGGAAGTTTGTGAGTGAGATGTGAAAAAAAAAGGTGGGGAAAAAACTTTGTTCCTGCATGTTTGAAATCCCTGTCATTTTCAATATTTAACACTCGAGGAGTCGGTGACGTAACAGGAATCGGTGGGTGTGAATATATAACAGTTCTCTTATCTTTACAGGTATATGGCTCTGTAACCTGTTTAACCTTAATGTCCCACATGAATGTACAGAATTAATCTGACTTAAATGGATTAATGGGTGAACTAATGGAAGAGAGAATTGTTGGAAGAATTTAATTTATTATCATTGCTTCATGCTGTACTGTCGCTTTAAGAAACTGTTTGCTTCTCATATTATAATCTAGTGTGCTCAAGACTGATGGAGAAATTACCAGACACAACCACACCCCCATTCACACCCACCTTCTTACTCCATACCCATCCATATACTCACACAAGATCACATGATATGTAATCTGATACTTTTATAAACTCAATATAAGAGCTGAGAAAGGGTGTGGCTACTCGCAGTTGATGAGGAAGCTGTTGTGTTGTCAGAATGAATGGATGAATGAAAAAATGCAAAAAGATGAAGGAATGAATCAATGAGTGGATGAATGAATCAGTCACTCAACTAACATGGACAAGTCAAATCACTACAAATTTACAGGAATTTGGGGCTACGTCCCATTACTCCAACACACCGCCGATACACATGTAGATATTTGAACACAACATTTTTGTTTCACGAAGTACCTTCACCTTAAAATATCACCTCAGCATCCATCATGCATTTGTGCAAGACTTAACTTCCAGTGACATGTTCAACTTGCTGGCAGTTGTCAAATGTAGTTGTTGTCAAAAGTGAGGGACTCTAGACAATCATTTTCAAAAAATCCACCAAATCTATGAAGGTATATTAAGATATACTATACAGTATATACTAAGATATCTGTCTGCGTATTTGTTCTATATGAAAGTATACATTTACAGAACAGGCAGAAAGGCTTTTGTCAAATATAATAATCTGATTTACCTCAATTAATCATGATTAATCGTGACTAATCCACAGTTACACTGTGATGAATCAGATTTTAAATCTGATTTAGCCTTACTTAGACCCAAGTAATACCTAAGCTACCTCCAAATTGAAGACGACTTCACATTGTCCTCATACTGCAGCAGGAAACAATGCAGTAAAAAGAAATACTTTTCTTTTATTTAGCCTTGTGCAGTGAACTGTTTATGGATGCCATGCTGAGCTGCAGCTACTGCTAGAATCACTGCAGGACCAGTGGTGAAATCATTACCAGACACCAGTGAGTTGTCGGCTGCTCCTGGTGGCAGACCATCACGGTGTGATTTGGACTAGAAAGAAAATTGTGACCATTTTGAGATTAGGTGGTCTAGTCCCCGGTGAATAGTTGTGAGCAATAACAACGATGCCACTGACATTTTTCCTGCAGATGTATTGTTTATAATTTATTCTCCATATTCTTTAATGCATCTCATATTACCAGTCGGGCCTGTGGTAGGAACTGTGGACGCAGTAATTGTCTCAGAGGACGCTCCCTGCAGAGGTAGCATAAAAAATGTTAGCTTTTCTTTATAGTTGATCTAATGCTGCTTCTGCTTTTACACATCTCCTGTGGTTGTGTTTGATTGGCTGCGGCCCTGACCGCCCTGGCCATGATTCTGAGGAAGGGAGATCTCTGCAGAACCCAAAGGCAGGGGAAGCCATAATATGGAGTATTATATATATATATATCACAGGTATATATATATATATATATATATATACCTGTGATATATATATATATATATATATATCACAGGTATATATATATATATATATATATATACCTGTGATATATATATATATATATATATATACCTGTGATATATATATATATATATATATACCTGTGATATATATATATATATATATATACACAATTCAGTGATTTCTATCATCTCTTTCAGACACAGAAACCAAAAATCCAGGCAGAGGTTGGTGATTATACTGAAGAGCCCAGTGGAGGACACAGAACACAGACACATGCAGCGGAAAAAAGCAATGTTCCACAAGACTACACATTCATTACTCAAAATAAATCTCCATTAAACAAACGTCATATGCATAATTAGTCTATAGGAACCATTATAATTGCGATGAGTTTCTCCATGGGCCGACCTATGTAAATTGTGATTGACAGCCGGTAAATGCAGTGCATAAATCTGGCTTCAGTGACTCTCTTAAAACACACACAAAGCCAGCAGATTGAAATAAATTAACTTGATATAAAAGAAAATGGTTTTTTTTTTTACCAATGTTATATTATTTTCTGGGGACATTTTTAATTTTAAATATATTTTTGTTAATAATATATCATCCTTTTTACAGTATTCTTTTAAATACCAGCGATTGATACCACTTACAACATTTTAGTTTTTTAAAGAAGTATTTGGAATTTTACGCATTTTGATTTTTATATACTCTACTCAAAGTCATGGTTCTCTAAATACTTTGAACTTCAGGACTGTGGTCAGGAAGTATTGCAGCTTAAAACAATCTACATTAGCATTAGCATGTGACGCTTCATTCAGGTACATTTTTGCCTTAAAATTAAAACATAGGAATGTTCATATTGTACCACCAGTAAAGGGACAGCACACAGCCTTCCCCCACTACCTTAAATGATAGTTGGATGGTTGGATAGATTAAAAAGGAAGTGTCTGTCTCCTACTGCATTACTGCAGCAGATGTTGCTTTTCTTCACTTAGCTTTTTACTGCTAATTACTTCAGATGTTAAGGTCATACAGCATTATTCTTCCTTCAAATATCTATCACCTGCTTGTCACACTTTCATAGTTATTATTATTTCTCCCTATATAGAGTTTGTAAGTTATCTCTAATAAATATATTTGCTCAAATCAGTTCCTGAATTCGAATAATTTTCAATTTGTGCTTGTGTTCAAACAAAGCATGTTTTGATGAAAAGAGAGACACGGCTTCGTCTCTTTTCATCAAAAAGTCAGAATGTGAGGAGTGTGGCTGCTGGGTGACCCCAGTGAGGTGACAATCCTTATATTCATGTGGAGATGGTGGAAGCCATTATTACCAGTCTGGCTTTGGAAGCTACCACTGATGTGCACCTTTCATCTCCACAGTCATCTCTTACAGAAATAATAAGCAGCCCTACCCTTTCTTTTGAACGCACCAGGTGGGGGCAACAGAGCAGATATGAAGTGAACAGATGACATGTGGCTGGAGGAGGGGCGGGGTCCTGTTTTTTTTTTTTTTGTTTGTTTTTTTTGTTCAAGCTGTCTGGCAGTACATATGGTAAAAGTGATGTCAGCATGTTGAATGCATATGCAAAAGAGCCAGACAGGTTGTATGTGGAGCTTCTTTTACATTTTAATGGAAATGCTGGGGCTAATAGATAAAGCTGTTGATAGAAAATAAGAAACGGCCATGCATTAACAATCAGGAACCAAAGGAGACAATTTTAGCAATCAGAACTGCCCTCTGGTAACCAATCTACTCAGAGGCACCTGACTTTACCATATATCAAATATAAGGATTTGACCCAGTCTTCTGGATGCTGAAGGGAAGCCTTAGGAGTGGCTGTTCTGATGACTCTTTTTATTGTTTTGCCTCAGGACTTAATCAACTGTTGCAGGTTTTCATTCACAAAATATGTTAATTTTGTAAACCCTGAAAGGACAGAGACAACAGACAATGACAAGGGACAGCAACTGATAACTGGACAGTCTATTAAAAGGACATCAGCAGCATCACTGGTAAATGTATCAAACCATTTAGAAAAAATAATTCAAATCTACCATGCCTTAAAACAGATGTGATGTTGTATCCAATTACTAACACTTTAAAATGGTATTTTAACATCATCATAACCAAGTAGCCAAGTAACCTCCTTCAGTCACACAGTCCACAAACATGACACAGATTTGAACAGTCCTTTAAATTGTTATGTATCATAGAACTATAAACACCGTGCTGTCAGAGTTCAGAATATAGGGCTGTATGTACTTCATGCTGCAACCAGGGGTGCTTTGGGTGCAGCCAAATCCTAGACCATCAGTAAACAAACACACAGTGACACTTATTTGCTGTTTGCTTGTGGTAAGCAAGCTAAGTACTCCTCCAGGGCAAACAGATATCATATACACCAGGGGTTCTCAAAGTCTAACATTGTGGGTCATTGTGGGGCTACAAGAAACACTGCCACTGCCTCATCTTCCCACCCTACGCACACATGCACATACCAACGTTACCTTTTCATTTATCTATAAAAATAATGAAATAAATGACATCCAACACCCATACAAGAAACTCCTAATACCTTCCTTGTTACCACCTGCTGTTTTTCCTCTTCTACATCAGAAAGTTTTCCCAACATTATGGTCCAGACCAGGACGCTACGTTCTCTCTGCATTTTTTGTGGTTTATTCGCCTAATTTGAAGCTCTCTGTCGCCCTCCAGTGGAGGCAAATCTCACATTTTGAAAACCTCTGGTACAAACCTGTCATTTGTCACCTGCTGAAGCCTCTGTGCCTGCACATGCGAGTGCGCTGCTCATATGCATTGGCAGACATAAGAATGAAATAGTGATGATTGACAAATAACAATAAGAGCTGATCATTTTTATAGGTTGAGAGTACCACATTTCAAATAGCTACAAATGTCATTTTAGACGGCCAAACTATAATTAAAAGTGTTGGTTAGTTTGTGACAGGTTCTTTTTAACAGTCTGGTTATGAGTCACCCTGGTACACAGCTGTAGAAATATGAAAATAAAACACCAAGTAAACAGTTCAGATATGTTCACATTTATTGTGCAGTGACTTTCTATATACATAAAGTTTGTACACCTAATTTACAGAAACGGAAATAAATTAATCTGTTAATTTTCTCTAATTCGTCCAGCTGTAGTGTTGCCACCCACAAGACACGGCAAAACATTGGAGGAGAAAAGCACAATTCCAACATGGCATGACACATGGCAGTAATATATATATTATTTATATATATATATATATGTCATAAAGAAGTCTGTTGTTTCCATTAGTGTTATATCTTCCACTCATCTTAAGAGGCAGTTGTTAGAGTTTCAGTGTATCCTAAGTTGTCAACTTGAATTTCTGACACATGGACAGTTTTGTAAATGTATATTCTACTGGTAGCAAGATCCAATACAGTCTCATCTCATATTTGAAATTATTTTTAGAGAGACAGTCAAGCGGAATAAAGGATAAAAATAATTCGTAAACCAGCCACGGGAACTAGACATACATTCACGGTGTGTATTTTATCATTTAATTTTATTTGAAAGATTTTTTTTAACTGCAAATAAACTTTTCATCTTATTATATTTACCCTGCAGATGTTCTTTTCACTCCAACAAAATTAAAGATGCATCGTTACTGTGACTTCTATTATTGTGCTACACACAGTATTGATCACTGACAGACACAAGGTTAAACTACGACTTGGTTATTAGTGTTTCCTAATTAAAAAAAACAAACTATCTCTAATTAGCTAGTGTTAAACTTTTTTCAGGGTGTACATTGTTGTGTTAAAATAATAAAAAATACATTTACCGGAGCAGCTGAAGGACACGCACATTAAAATGTGGTCGAGGGGAAAGAAGGTGACCCACAGTAGAAGTTCTATCTTTCTTATATACACTGACTATTAATACAAGCGTCAACCGGCTCCATTTCACTCTGTGGGAACTAACGTCGGGTCTGACGATCTAATGCTAACTTAATTATAAAACACTAACGAGAGTGACATGCCTATGTGACACTAAACAACACATGGACTCCAGCCTCCGTTGACCAAACAGACACACAGAGCAAGAATTTACAGTATACACTGACGGGTCTCAAGCACCCAGAAGTCTAAGCTATCAGAACATGCAGCGTGTGGCGAGTCTCTGCAGTGCTGTTCAGGAGTTCTGTTGGTGCTGAACAGCTGCGGGGAAACCCAGAGTATTTTTATTTACTCCTTTATTTTTTTTACTCTTCTTGTAAGAATAGAGTGAATTATAACATGGCTCTGCTGTTCCATTGGCCACACACACTCCACTGATCAACATACCATACAGAAACATCCCATTATTGCACACCAGCACTGAACTACCATATGTTCATGCAGAATGCTATGAGAAACTGGCTAGAGTCAAATCGGAGGTTGTTCGCTATGTGACAGACGATCGTGGTTTCCTTTGGAAGACTAAGGTACATTGTTCTGGAGGGATTTAGAGGAGATGTCACTACGTGGCACATACTGACATGGCTGCTGCGCTAGGGTTATGAGCCGTGGTGGCAGAGAGACGTGCAATGATGCTGTACAAGAAAAACATTATTAGGAAACCTGACACTGTGTGACCACGGCTTCATTACAGTACCTTTTAAAGCCTTGGCATACTTTCCACACGTGTGTACTGTATCTCTAAAGATCTACAAGGATCTAATTTTTTATCGAGTCATCCATCCCTGTCTGTTTGTCTGCACAGATGTGCTTATTCAAAAGCTGCATTAGGAAGAGCATTGGGCAAAACAAAGCGTGCAAATATCACATGTCATTTTTGACTGGGACAATTCCTGCAAAGGGAGAAGGGACAGTGACCTTTGTGTGTAGGAACTTTAGTCAGTTCTTGACATCTGGTCACAGGGATCCAGTCCTGGACCACCAGAGACGTCATAAGGACAGTGTGCAGGAACTATGAAATGAAACAGACATTACATAGTTCCTGCAGACTGTTCATGGTTAAATCCTTCACTCTTGTCTCACTATATATAAATACCGAACAAGTCATTTGAATTTTTTTAAATCACTCAAGTTGATTTGATTGATTTTTCAAAAACTCTGATCAGCTTGTCTTGATCCAGCCATGGTCCAATTAGTCCATAGGTGAGCTGAGCTTTCACAAAGACATATAGCTGAAAAATATAGCATCTCTCTTCTGACACAGGATGTGGAAAAGTATGACCAAGGCCTCAGTTAGTTTAAAAAATAGTGTCAAAGATAACTGCACTGAAAATATAACAGAAGCAACCTCTTTTTCATAGCATGTAAACTACTGTGCACAACCAACATTCATAGCATTGTTTCTGTTAAAACACAAAAATAGTTAAGATGAGATCAAATAACCCCAGCAGTGAAACAAAAGTGCCGGGTGTACATACGTTTGGAGATGAGAGTTTTTTTTTTTTTTTGCATAAAAGTAAAGCTGGATTAAGAAATAAAATGCTCTCTTTAGAGACACATTCCTCCAGAAACTAATCCACCTACTGGACTACTAACCAGACAAGTCAAGTTGTCGTAAGGCGAAAGAGTGGCGGTGAGATGGGAGGAGGTGAGAGTGAAGAAGGAATATTATGATGGACCCTTTGTGATTTAGAGCTTGTGTAATCTTCTGTCTGGCTCAGGGGGACTGAGAGCCTGACCTGTAGCTCTTGAAGCTGCCCAGTAGACTCTGCACCCCTTTCTTGACACGTCGAGCCACTGAGTCAGCAGGAGGAGTGGGCAGGCAGGAGGCCAGGCTGGGTGGACGTGCATCCAAACACTTCTGGTAGCGCAGCTATAAAATACATAGACAAGCGTAAATTCTCTTCAAACTAAACACAGTCTGCTCATAAACAACAGTGATTCACCTCTGTGTTGACTTAGCTGTTGACTGTAAGACATCAGCAGAACAACTGCAATTCTCAGAAGGCTTTTAGATATGACCTCATCGTTTGACTCAGAGTTTGACTCACCATGCAGGCCGCCTGTACAGCCTCACTCAGACTGGCAGCATTGGGATCGCACCAAAACATGTGACAGATGAAATCTTGCGGACCTTCTGCCATGATGAAGGCAAAGGTGTGGACGTCCTTGCCAACACCCATAAAAGACAGGAAGCGAACCCTGCACTCTGACAGAACCTCCTCATTCTGGACATAGGAAAAACCAGATTAAAAGATTAAGAGTCTAAGTTCAACCTCAGGCAGCATTGACTTTAATCACTGCATCAGGTTTGCCAGTGGAATCTGACATTAAATATTTTAAATGTCAGCTGATTGCATCCCTTGTTGAAAAGGTTTGAATCTTTACCTGTCTTGAAAGTATTGTGAGGGTTGCTGGTGCGACATTGACGGAGACGGGGGTCCAATCGTTCTTGTCTTTGCTATTCATTGCTGCCTCCAGAGCATCATTGACCACCTCCACACCTGGGAATGTATGAAAAACAATCTAAAAAACACCATTTCTAAAGCACCTGCTAAAAGACACAAAAACAATGTTAATTTAACTGTTTCACGATTAACTTGTTTTCTCACCAGTTGGTTTAGCCACCGCTTCACAACCAAGGTAGTAAACATTAAAGCGCTGAACAAGTTCATTCTTAGGAGCTGGAAACTCTGTGTGAAAAATAAAAGACTTTCAACAATTTGTTTCTTAACTTGAATAATGATGATATTACAAGTCTTGAATCCTGACCTTCAACAGGGATGACCATGGGTTTATCGAAGCTGTGTCTGCCAGCCCCGGGCCTGGTTGCCCTTCTCTCCATCATTATCTGAAGGTAAATTAAAACAGAAAACATGCAATCTTGAAAATCCATGGCTCGTCACATTGAATTTATAACGAAACCAAGTTAAATGCAATAACGACTGACCTTTGAACACATCTCATGTAAGCTGGTGGCGATGTTTTTGGCAGGCGAGTCGCAGCGGAAAACGTGACACTTAAGAACTTGGGTCAGGTTGTCCCGAGCCACGTATGCAAAGTCCCTGCAGGTGAAATTAGAAAGTAAAGGTCACAATCACAGGTGGAATTGTGAATGGAGCTAAAAAATTAGGAGTCTGTTTCAGCAAACACTCTGTGAGCAGACAAAACAAAAAGACATACAACTCTGCCAGTAATTACACAACTTAAGAAGCAAAAGTAATTTAATGTACCTTTCCCTATTGACGATGAAAAATTGGAGCATGAAAGGAAGAACAGGGTGAAGTTAGTACACAGTAACATTAACAGTAGGCAAGAGCATGACAAATCACTGTGTTTCTGTGCATTACTTGAGACAATCCACCAGGGGGAGGCAACGTGCAGTGAAATGTTTTCACAATCTAATAAGCTTGTCACTGCAGGTATCTTTAAGACTGCTGAACTACACTATATATATATATATAAATATATATATACACACTTTAATATAAATAAAATTACGTTAAGTTTAGCTATAATATAAAGCAGCATGTTAACACAACCTAAAATGATTAGTTTGAAAAAATAAAAAATAACAGAAGCAAAGAGAAGGACAAAACATTTCGGCTGATATTTGGTAAACAAAGATGATCTGACAGAATATTTTTACATTATAAGAGACAATATAAGGCAATATTTAATTATAATAAATAATTGACAAACGGTTTAACAATGACAGGAACACCCATGATAAGTGACAGTAAATGAACAAAAGTATTTCTGACTCCTGTCTTGAAAGAGGATGTTTGTTAGGGCTGACTGACCTGCCATTGTCTCTGCCCACACCCCAAACTCTGATGCTGCCAATTGGCTGAGCATGAAGCAGAGTCTGGCCCAGCGGGTCAATCAAGTTCATTGTGTCATTTTCCAAAACCATCAGCATGTCTTTACCCTGTCACAGCACACATACAAATATGCATTCATTCATTGGAAAGATTTCATCAACTGTCTAAAATTAGCAACTCCACAACTAATACTTCTTAATATGTTTTGCAAAAGACACTGAGCTGCAACTTGGAATTTCACCACAGGATGTTACCAAATCCTACACATTGTGCCCTTTAACCTCTACCTGGAAAATACACTCACCTCTCCCCAGATTCCAACAGTGTCATGAAGGTTGTGTTTGTGGTACGACAGCTGTCTGATGCAGTTGTTGACAGCAATGCTGCTCTTGCCAGGAGCCATGTCCTCTTCAGACATTTCAACCCAGCCCAGTGAACGCACTGCAAAACACTGCAAGTGCAAAGACGCAGCGTGTTAGAACAAAGCAAGGCTGCACAAACGAGGAGGAAAACAGTCGACAGTGGAGCTGGCAGAAATACAGAACTGTACGTGTGCATCAGCTTCTTTGTGAGCACCTACTCACAAAGCTTTGTGAGATTTTTAGTTGTGGAAAGTACAGAATTATTAACACTATTGTGTCATATTAAATACACAAAGAAAATACCTTACAACTATACTTTAGCAGAGAGGACATAAGTACCAGGAACTAAAGCAGGTGTCTGAAAAATACTGACAGAAACACCTGTCTGAAATCTGTGAAGGAGGCCTATAAAACAGCACAAGTTAAATATAGAGATGTAATGAGGGCATGTATCAGAATCTATTTCACACTAGCAGCATACCTAATGTTAAAGTTACTGCACATAAAAATGTTTTTCCCCAAATCAGTTTTATAAAGATAGCTTAGCAGGCCACAGGAACCTGAGATTAGAACTCACAACGTGCACATTTTTTGCACTTAGCCAAGTAACAAAACACAGATGCTATACATGGGGTTTGCAAAGTCCTTGATGAAGAAAAAAAACTTGATCCTTTATTAAACTCAAAATCTTTCTTGCTTTAAACGTCAACACTGATTTACCTTTGTTTCTAAGTCAGTGAACAGTGGTGGGAGCTTCTCATCTTCCTCAGACTGGGAACAATTGTAGCTGTAGAAAGAAGTAAATAAACAAGGCCAAAATAAGTAAGTAAGAAAAGGCTGAAAGAGCAAAAGGCTGTTATCAAGTCAAAAATCTTATCAGACTACACATCTGCAGAAACAGCACATACTTTAGGTTAATGGAAGCATAGCGTAAGGTCGCTCCCTCAAACTCCTTCAGACTTTGATCAGATGCGACTTCTGCCTCCTCCTCTTCCTCCTCCTCCTTAAATAAAAAAAAGAAAACAATTCTAAACTTTCAGACAGACAGATAAAAATGTTTTAAATATTTTACATTGAATGTACTATTTATTAGGGACTCTTAGTTATTTACCACTTCATCCAAAACATACCTTCCACAGTTCTCCTTCTCCTTCAGCCCCTTCATCTGTGCTGGAAAGGTGAGTCCAGGATTCCTAAACATAAAAAAAATACAAGTCATTAATACACAGAGGTTCACAGACTAGTGTGTGTTTGACTAGTAGAGTAGTTAAAACTCACCTCGGGCTCCTCACAAGGAGTTGTCTCCAGGGACATAGAGGAGGACATGATTGAGTCAACAACTTTACTAAGGGGAGATGGAGGCTCCCACTGGGTGGTGCCTGTAGGGATATGCCAGTAGTAAGTGCCTGATGTGTCACGAACCCTCATCCAGCCTGAGGGCAAGTCCGTGTCTGTCTCAAAAGCATTGGAGTCCCAAAAGGACTCTGGGGAGAACAAAAAAGCAGAAACACCGAGAATGAAAAGTGTGGTTGAAACAGTATTCATGGAGAATGAGAGATGTTATATACAGTGGGATTTAAACATGGGTATAATGAATGATTATTATCAGTATGAGTTTTTTAAAGACATACATGGTCCTTTATTGAGATTTATATTTGTTTAAATAAAGGCTTTTTATTGAGATTTATATTTGCTGAGCATCCTAGAAATATTTGAATGGTGAGTTTGTGGTGTGGAAATATTTCTGTACTCTCTAGGGTTTACCTTTGTTGCCATTTGGAGAGCTGTCAGCAGTTGCTTCCTGGGACAATCCAGGCCAGTTTGCCTCTTCATCACTTGGTGTCCCATTCATGTTGGAAAAGAGGAGGCAGGCATTTCTCCCTCCTACACTCCCTTCTCTCTGAGACTCCACGTCACCCTGTTCTTCTGATACTTTCTCTCCTCTGGTATCACCCGTTGTCTCCTCGTCATTTTCTGCATTCTTTTCCTTCTCTTTAGCCGCCTCTCCTTCCTTTTTTTCTGTGGACTCCAGAGTATTGATGAGAAGTGGTTCGTTGAGGAGGTTCTTGGACTCCTCCTGGCTAAGACCTGGGCTTATTGCAATTTTAGTAGATTTGGTCTGCTCCTCATTTCCTTGTTGTTCTTCTCTTGTGGTGTTGTGATGAGGGAAATCATCCTCGTTTCCATTCTGACTGATGTTGCAGTTATGGTCTTGTTCCTGCTGGTTCTCAGCTACTTTCCTAAGCTGATTCTGGCCTTCTTTGACCCACTTTGCATTGTTACCAGTGGTTTCCTGGTCACACCAATGGCTACTGTCCTTCAGTTTGTTCTTCAGCTCCTCATCTTGCTTTTGTTTACTCACAACATATGGGACATCATCATGGCCTCCCATGGTAACTGCCCATGCAACTGCTCTGTTGGATGGAAAAATAAAGAACCTTGATTTCTCGAGAGGGCTATTAGTAGTTTAAAGTTTTATTGCTACATGTGATGCATTCAGTATAAAACTAGTGACTTAATCTTAAAGGTCAATTTTAAAAATCCAATGGAAGATTTAGTAATAAGAAGCCAAGTGGTAAGTGTTTAGTACATTGCATTTATCAAATGCTTTGTTAAAAGAAGCTTGAGAGATAGAACCACCATATTCTACAAATCAAATGCTGCACCATGTACAAATGACATATTATAGGCCCTTTATGCTGCACCACATCCTAAGTGCAGATCTCCTTTCGTCAAAGAGGCCCATCCTGGACTCATCCCGGTTACAGGTGGTTCTGTGATAGTGATATGCATGCAGCCCTTGGCAGCACCTATTTCAAGTCTCTAGGCCAAAAACCCTACAATGCATTAGAACTGCAGGTGCACAGCCAATGATCCTCCATGCAGGTGTGAAAAGGTTCTACCATAAGTAGTTTTACTTCCAGTACGCAGGTCAATTTAACACTTCAACACAAAAATAGGTCTGCTCTCTAAATAAAGTTAATTGTGAATCACATTTTATTTTCATATCAAATATAAAACATCCTTTATAAATCGTATCTTATATTTATTAATTAAGATGTGACAGTGTCACACATGGGCCTGTGGTTTGCCACACTATTGATTTTTTGTTTGTTTGTTTAAAATATATGTTACGTAAAGCAAAAGCTCCTGGCAACGTTTGTATTTATAGGATGAGGAGAGTTCGATTTTCGTCTCTAGCAGTTACCCCTTCGCGGTTGCCTGAATATAAGTTTTTTCTGCCCTAATGTGAAACGCACTTCAACACACTTGCCTTGCTCATCTATCACGACCTTTGTTTACTTATATCTTGGACTGAATATTGAGACCAATGTCTCGTTTGGAAAATCAGTCCCGCATTTGTAAAATCCACCCATCTATAAAATCAAACTAGGTTTTCACAAGACATCAATGTTTATCAGATGCCACCGCAGCAGCTGGAAATAACGGGCACCGTCCGCCATCACTGCCGTCGTCATTTTAAGCTAGGCTAATGCTATCTTCAAACAGGGAGATGGAAACAAGGCACAGAGGCTGTGATTTATCAAGTCTATGCAATTTTTAAATTATTTTTAACTTACCAGTTCCCCCAGAACCTCGTTGTCGAAATATTCGGTGTCAGTTAACTACATATTTCCACAAACCTTGGTGCCTCTCCGTATGCGGTTGGTGTTTTCTGTCAGAGGGCTCGGCTGCTGATGGAGGGCGAACCTGCGTCACCGATTGACGTCACATCCCCTTACCACTGCTAACTCTAAGTAGGCTAAGTCACGAAGATTAAAATATAAAATCACAGTAAGAAAATATTTTTTATTATTATTTGGAATGCTTTAACATATTGAAGCCCAAAATTTATCCATTTTACTAATAATATTAATATTGTAAAAATCCTATATTTTTCTTATATAAGGTTATTGCAAAGGATAAAGGGCAGATAGACATTTTATAAAACCTTTCTCAGAATTTTAATATAAACTGATTAAACTACATAATTCAGAGGAAGTCATGAATAATATAGTGAACCTTCGGCTTCTTTAAATGTATTTGGAGGATGTGCACAAAACTCAGAAACCAAAGTCAGATGTCTGTTGCCAAGATTTTGGAGAGAAAACCAGACTTAAATGTAAATTTCAGATTATAAAAGACAGAATCCAGACTTTTAATCATGGGCCCCAACTAGTAGAAGGCAACATTTAGGCTCATGATCACAATCTGAATTTATATATTTTATTTAACCAAAGGTCTTATTACCAAACCCGACAAATGGTAAAATCACCACCACAAATACACACTTTCACGTCTTCCCAAACATTTCTTTTTAATATACTTATATATAAATACAAACATTTGTTTAAATTCTTTCTTGATTTTGGCTTAAACTGTGACTCAGCACAAACAAGCAGGCTGGTGGGGGCACAAAAAGAGTTAGAAGAAACACATAATCAAATGAGACAAATTTTGATTAAACTTAAGGCTCCAAGTAATAATAACAATAAGAAATACAAGTTGTAAAACAATGGATTAGATAGTGAGATATTAATAACCTCCCTCGATGTCTCAGTCACAGTTGGCGGCAGCTTTAATTCACAGAAAAAGTAAATTCTGAACTTGGCGTCCAAATAAAAAACCCAATTGTACTTTAAAATAATAAACTGGGTGAAGTATGGATTTAAAGAAACACAAACACTTTCAGCATGAAAATGACGAGTGAAGTGCAATTACTGGTAATAAAAATGGGCTAAAATGATTTGGGCTGTTGTGTCTAGCAGAATAGTTCTTAACTGTAGGGTAAACCTTTTACACAAACACAGTTGAATGAGGCTTCAGCTGGTAACGCCACTACAGTGTACATTTGTTTCCATGTACAGCCAAGCCTAAGAGAATCACTCTGCTCTCATCAGCACTGTTTACATTAATCTTCTCAATGATTTCATATTTGCATGGTTTAAGATCTTTGACATGCTAGCAGACTGTTCTCGAGGAAAACATTATATATTTTTACTTTCAATGTCAGAAGCTTTAGGTTAACATTTTATTTATTTTATTATAGGGTAGATAATGGCTGGCATAAATAATAAAGTCTACATAAAATTATGGCCTCAAATAAAATTAAGCAATGCAACAAACTGCCATGCTGATCTCCCCTGGTGATTCAGTGGATTAAATAAGACCATACTGCAGCCACATGATTGTAGATTGCCAAAACAGTCAACACTAAGCTCCGGCAGAAACCGTATCAGCAGATCAGTGACAGGATTGTCACTAAATAACAACTTAATATCACAGTAACAAAAAAATATATAAAAAACATTTCAGCCAGATTCATCCAGAAGCTACAGTAGCGCTGAATGCAATGTTAGATGAATGAGTTTAAGGCAATACTGGTAAGCACCACACCACCAGATCAATCAGAAATCTGGAATACAGAAGGTATCCAGTATATTATTAGTTCAGCACAGACTGGCAGGAGTAGGTGATAAGAATCACTTGTCCTGCATTTTTTCCAGAATTGGCACAATCATGTCAAACTTGGGCCTCTTAGCTGGGTCTTCGTTCATGCATATCTTCATGAGCTTGCAAATGTGGGGCGAGATTCCAGGTGGAATTGTAGGTCTTAAGCCCTCCAAGGCGATCTGCAGAACAAAATTAAGACATTCTCTAAATTAATATTTCTTATTTATCTTTATATAATATAGATATATTTTTATGAATAGATAAACAAATAAATTATTACAAATCTAATTAAGATGTATAATATTTGTACAAAAGATTTAGAGCAGCGACCTTCATGCCTATTTCCATGTTGGATAGGTCAGCAAAAGGAACCTCCCTGGTCACCAATTCCCACAGCAGGATAGCAAAGCTCCACATGTCAGCAGAGCGACGGTTAATGTCCTCTGGCTTCTTCTGCAAGGCTGAAATCCACAAAGAGAAAATCATTGCAGTTTCATCAGCAACCACCACAGCCACAGTCCCAGCAGGAGCTGTTTATTTATTCTTCAGACTTTGTGTTACTATGGAGCGCAAACAATGATTACAGATAAAGAGAGGAATCTAATATTACCTCGGTTACTAAACAGTAACAGACCAAATTATATAGTGTATAGAAATTGAAGAATCTGGGTCAACTCTGTGTTTAATTAGGAAAAAAATCTGGAAATAATCAAAAAGTACAGTTCTTCACCCTTTTTCCTAAAAAGTCACTCTTTAGTGAAAACAGATGGAGAGTTACACTATTTCATCTGTCTACAGCCTGTTGAGCAAGTTATTGCTTTATGTTTCCAATCTCCTTATATGATAGTGAGAAGTACTGTAAGCTGGCAGTTGAGGAACTCTGGTTTGTGGCTTGGATCCTTTTGCAGACCGAATCGCATTTAAAACATAAAATAAACATAAGCTGCATCATGCACAGTCTCTGTAATTCTAGTCTGACTGGTATGTTTTGGGTCAAGTGGTCTGACTTCAACAAATTTGTTCTGCATTATTCAAACTGATTTGTTTTAATGTCTTTTGTTTAGTTTCTAGGTTTTTCCAAGGACATAGAAACACAGCTATTCACGTAACATCAGGGACTTTACACCCTTCACTGACCACATCACTGGGTATATTAGATTGTTCAACTCTTGTTGGAGTTAGATCTAAAAACCCAACCACACTGCACCAACTCCAGGCATTTGGCAACACCAGATGCCAAGATTAGAACCACGTATCAGAAGTTTAACTTTTAATGTAACATTGTTGTAAGTATTAATTAATTATGTGTTTCTGAAAATACTACAAATACTACTGCTACTGGGGTACCTTTGCTGATTATGAAAGTAAAAACCCCTTCAATTCAGTTGTGCATCTTGGGAAACAATCTTGGGAAACAAGATCAGCTGCTGATTTGCAGCCCGTTTCATGTTAATTTGGATCTAAATTTGTCAGAAAATATTTTCAGTTGTTCAACTTTCTCTTCATTGATTGCACAAGAAAGTTCTATTAGCAAAACAATTAGCATGACCTTAAAGCACCTGAAGAGCTCATTACAGATTTAAATCTAGCGTACTTAACAGGCTCTTTAAGCACCTATGGCTTTTTACCTCTGTTACATTACAGTTTGTAGTTCGCAGTGAAGGTCTTTTTTTAGCCACATTTGTACCTTATCAACAGCAGCACTCCCTACTCTCAATTTCATGGCTCGCTACACACTATACGCATGCTGTTTCTATGGTAACTGAAGGCAGCATCTCTTTATTCCATGCAGCCATAGCCATCATGCTCAATGCACTCTACTGTAAAATTAAATTCTCACTGCAACAAGAGATCCCTGGTCATTGTCCAATTTATATCATGTTTATCTTTCCATCTTGCTCAGATTTCACTGTATCCAACAGAGAAATCGGCTGCAGATTATATTTTCCTCAGAGACAGTCAATGGAAACCCAGCATCCATCATTTGCGCTGCAGCCTGTGTTGCTTCTGCTGTCACTTTTGATCTGAGCTATTTTGAGAGATGCGTACCCTCAGGGGCCACCCATGCAGGCGAGTACATTCTACCCGGACACTGAAAGGAAAACTTGACATCTGCCATGCTGATCCTGGCTGTCATGTCTTCATCTATCTGTGGAAACAAGGAGAGAGACATCACATTAAAGAGAAGGACATGTCTTCCAAAAACAGTTTGGTTGGAACTGTTTTTGCAAGAAAAGCAATTTTAAACTAATGTCTTCTTACCATCACACTTTTGCTGTTGAGATAGTGGCGAGGGATCATAGGTTCAAGCGTGTGCAAAAAGGCCATTCCACAAGCAATGTCCAGTGCAAACTTCACTGCCTGTGTGTGGTCCACCACAAAGTCTGACAGAAGGATGAATGTGGAACAAATAATAATAGGTTTCAGCCAATTGGACTCGTCCCATAACCACTGAACATAGCAGCAACGTAATGACAAGTTAAAATGAATCACAAGTCTCTCCAAACAACCTGGAGTGATGACAGATAAAGACTTTTGTGACCAAAGCAAAAATACTCACTGGTGCCTTCATGCAGCACATTGTAGAGGGAGCCGTAAGGCATCCAGTGTGTGATGATGTGAGGGTCAGGGGCGGGAGGAGACTGACATGCTCCCAACATGGGAAGAACATTAGGGTGTGAAAATATCCTGAGATGGAGAACATAGAAAGGAGGGGACACAGGAGAGACAGACAGACAGACAGCATGGATGATTTGTCATAAACAGACATCTTGTGCTTGATGTGACAAGAAGTTACATAAAGTTTTGAACAAACTTGATGCAAGAATAATGCAAACAGACAGATGAAATGTAACAAAACCAAAGATTGGCAAAAGAGACTGGAAAAAATATCCACCTGAGCTTGGGATACTCCTCGTTAAAGTCTCTACTTTTCCTTGTGGTCCAGTCGCGAACCTTAAGCACCTTAATAACAATTTCATTTCCTTGCCAGCGCCCTTGCCAAAGCTATAGAAAGAAAAAAAGAATATGGAAATTGGAGTAATTACAATCTTACTTCAGCAGTTACAAAGAAAGAAACTTGGCCATTTCCAACATGTGGCTTTGTCGTGCTGTAAGCAAAACAAACAACTTGGCATGGCAAACTGGTTCCCAGTTTTGGGACAAATAAGGGGCTCCAATCTGTTTTGACTCTGCTCAAATCTTCACCCATGGCTTAAGTTTTACCAGCAGCTGTGACTGTGAGTTAAATTGTGTGACTCTGCAGGTATTTGAGTGCCTGTGCAAACATGAATTTTATACTGCACCTTCACCGGGCGCAGGTTAAGGAACTACTTCACAGTGCATAGTACTTGTAATGATACTATGGCACTAGCTGTTAATATTTTTTTCAAAAATAATGCTGTCCTGAAACTGTGCAGTTGTTTTCATAATTGAAGCTCATATTTCAGAGAAATAAAACAGCAAAGTGTGTGACTAATAAAGACTGCTCTGGTTTCTTGCTGAAGCAATGCTGCACAGTTATGCTCACTGCCTCACCAGGACACTGTCTAGAATATTACAGGCACAGGAGTACAACTAAACTAGCACTGCAGGCAGTGCTGCCTTTATTTCAGTGAAATATAGTGCCTCCATAATAAGTAGGTACATTTCACTCATCAAATGGTCACAGCATGACTGTGATTACCTCTCCTGATTGGTTCTCATTTATTTTAGCAAGGAACACCAGCTGTTTATAGTCCACTCCTGCATGTTTGTTCAAAGTGCCATTGCCTAAAAACACAAGGAGGAGACAAACAGATGGGTTAGTTCAAGTTCAAACAACAAGATCTCGTCATTCATGTTGAATTTATCATAGAGCTGAAGGACTCACGGGGTCTAGTTCGGGTAGTGCCTTTCCAGAATGTATCTTTGAAGGGGATTTTAGTCATGTTCTGTCCCATTTTCTCAGCCTTTTCTGATCATTAGAAATATAAGACATGTAACACAAATTAAAGAGAAACTTTAAAAGGTTAACATATAGATTTCTGTGGAAAGATAAGCCATATAAATACCTCTGAGGATTTCACGTAGGTGAGGTTTGGCTTTGTCCATTGGAGTTTCCCCATACTTGTTACAGATGTTCACTTGTGCCCCGTTGGTAACAAGGTCCTAAAAATGAGGAAAAAAGATTTTTGTCACTTATTAATTACCATGAAGGAAAGTAGAGTAAGAAACGAGCTTCTCCATTTACACCACCAGGTGGTGCACCAACCTCAGCCACTTGGTCTTGCCCCCAGAAGCAGGCATAATGCAGTGGTGTGTTCCCATGCTCATTAGCTGCATTTGTATCTGCTTTGCACTGGATCAGCTTAAAAAATGAAGAAGGCAAAGACGGAATTAAAAGCAAAACAAGGCTGGTCACATCTTGTTTGGGCTGTATACATGGATGTGGGGTGATGTTGCCAAGAAAAATCATACAAGTATGACTATCCTGTGGACACATACCAGAGGTATTGAGACACTACTAATATTAAACTCAATAGTTGCCTGGCAGCGACTCTAAATCAGACACTGCAGCAGAAGCCTCACAATATTACAGCAGTTCTGTCAGCTGCTGGAGGTTGTCATTCTATCTTCAAACCACTGAAATGAAAGCCTTACAACATTTGTCATTAAGGCCAGGTCCTGATCTATTATTTTTACCTCGACTGCTCTACAAAAAAAAACATTGTACAGGTACAAAGTAAGCCACTGGACTCTAACCCTTAAACATTATGCATTATGAAGCAAATTGGTTTTTTTTTCCGACAGGAGCATATAGTTTGTTTTTGCAACATTATGAGGCTTATTCTCAGCTTGACACCGATTTATCTGCTATGCTTGCCCTTTAAATTGAAAGTGCTGATGGTGGAACAGCAAGAACAGACAGGACAAAATAATAAAACCACTGTTCAAGTGGAATCAGCTTAGATTTCACAATAGCCTGTATTAAACAGCACATAAACACCCTGTAAGGCTGGATGTGAACATTGGTTTTGAATGTCACTTTCAGGATTAGCAGTGTAAATTATTTAAATAAATGCAATAAATTCACAGCTTTAGTAAAATATCAAAGGAACAGGAATAATTCAACAATAAAAGTGCAATGATTACAATTTACAATTTAATTAGTCAACAACAAACTACATTGTTGTTTCTGTTGCATAATTAAAGGGTAATAATTCAAATAATCATTAGTTGAAGCCCTATTGTATGTATGTTTACACACTCCTTACCTTCCCCACAATGTCCCGGTGACCATGGCTAGCAGCAAGGTGGAGAGGTGTGTCATCACCACGGTTCATGACATTAATTCGAGCGCCTCTCATGATGAGCATGTCCACCACGCTGGAGCGGCCCTCTCTGCATGCCCAGTGCAGGGGGCTAAAGCCGTGGTCATCTCTGCAGGAAGACAAGAGCATGAACATTCAGCACAAGCTACTGTTAAAATCAGCATTTAGTACAACAACAACTGAGGAAAATCGGCAGTAAAAACGTACAAAGAAGGTGTAAAAACAGTTCAAGGAGACATTTCAGCCTCTTGTGTCACTATAAGGCCAACCAGGTTTTTTTCTGTTTTGCTTGAGCAATCAAATGTTCTTTTTCAAAAACCCAAATAATCCAAGGTACCAACTCTAAATGGTTTTTGACTTATTCTGTACTAACTAATTGTATATATGTGACCTTTTTTACACACAAACAGACTCTTTAGCTATTCCTCTGGTGAATAATTACAGCACCATCAATAAGTATAGTAGGATGGCTGACGTATCTGGCGTTTATTTTTATTTTTCAAATGCATCAAATTTGAACTGAATTAAGTCTCTGGCTAAAACAGAACAACAGTTAGACTTCAAAGGTGTAGATGGAATACAGCAGAAATAATGGAAGAGAATTTGGAGATAAAATGGGGTAAAAAAAATGGAAGAAAATCTGTGTTACTGTCTTTCAAAATAATAACAAAGCCCTTAACAAAATTCTGAAAAAAAAAACAAAAAAAAAAAAAACAAGGTTAATTCTAAAAGACCAAATTCGTAGAGGCTTGAGAGCTTTACTTTCCTGAACTTTGTTTTCTTTTGCAGTGCTGCAAAAGATTCAGCTGCTACTGATGCGTAGAGGCTTGAGAGCTTTACTTTCCTTCTTTTGCAGTACTGCAAAAGATTCAGCTGCTACTGATAGGTACTGTAGTCTTTTACTACAGTACACTGTTGTATTTTGAGTTGAAAGCAAATTCATCAGGCCTTTGTACTTCCACAATCTCTTATTTGGAAAAGGGAAGTTTTGACAACATGGGCTGACACCTAACAGCTCACAGTCATTTGTATCTAACTGACTCCAACGATGACTCCAAAATGACACCAACACAAACTGAGTGGTTAGAACACAACGAAAGCTGTAAGTGGTGTGATGTCAATAAAAATATGTCCATCTGTGCATCCATGTATTTCTCTCTCCAGTTACCCATTTATTGTCTACACTACCTCTTACCCCCACTCTCCAGACTTAATTATTTACTTCAAACTCTGAGCTGCACTCAAACAGCTGATGACATCTGATAGGGTTTCCCAAATTTTCCTTCATTTTTACAGATATAACAACTATGAAATCCTTCTGTTTCTTTGGAATAGTCAAACTGCCTAATGATGCCTTTTGAGAGCCAAGAGTTCTATCAATGTGCAGGAATTTGAACCCTATGCACCCACCGCCATCAATTCACTGGTCTGTATTCACACATCCTGCAGTGTTTGGTTGAAAACAACATCAAGAGCCCCACAGAGACACTTTGTCCCAAAACACTTGGTTTTTTGTTCATCTGGGCGACCTGCTATAGCAGCAGCAGTTCTGCTCCCTGAGCAATTTCCTCCCTGACCAAAAGGCCAAACCCTAAAAACGAATTAGCCAAAGACAAAAACTCCCATCAGGCTTACTCACACAGGTTTATAGGGTACTTGTAGGGGTGCAGTGATTCAACTGTGTCGGTCCTGATACCTGGTTGTGGACTCTTCCTATTTCAGTTCTTCTTATATGTGATGCTGTCTTGTGCAGTTCAGGTAGTTGGGTTTCAGAGAAATATCCATGCTATGACAAGCTTTACTTTTGCTTATACTGTTTAAGCATGTGGAGGAACCTTCCTTTTCCTGAGAAATTGCAGTCAGTTGGAGAAACACGTACTCTGACGGGACGTTTTACCTCTTTCCTATGTAGGCCTGTGCTAGCATGTGACAAATTTGAGCAATCCTTTATGAAAAATGATGATTAAATTGCTCACTGCAAAAGGTTTTGGAACATTTTATCTCCAGAATTTCACATCTAATTCAACAGATCAAAGATTATAAAAAACAATCTTCTTCATGCAAGACACCAGCAGTCATGTGCCAGTGAGTCTACTAGTTTATGTGTGCACTACTATTCAGGGACATTTTTATAGTGGAGATATTCCACGTAGGCCTGATTCATGTATGCAACTATAGCAGCTGGAGCACCAGGGTTTTCTTGCCACTCACTCCCTTCAGTCGGGCTGTGGTAAATTATTTCAGGAACTTCCACCTGCCAACAGAGCTCAGTTTGGCAGACGGAAAAGCCTGAGGAAGCGCCCCTGTCTGCACCCTGTTCGTCTATGGTCTATGAAATCCCCAGCAGGTCATATAACAGAGCTCAACTGAGGGGAAGCGGACGAGCAAAAAAATATATAACCTTGAAAATTTTAAGCAGTTGGTCTGACATTTTTAAAAAACAGAACAACATAGTGATTCTGCAATTGTGGCTCAGTTTGTATGGTGCAAACCTTATAAATTACTGGACATGCAGGTGGATTTAAACCCACAATATTCAGCAGCCAGTAATGGGAATTCTTTAACTACAAAATAAATAGCAAACCATCATAATCAGACCACATTTATCAAACGAAATAAATAAAACAAACATAAAAGTGTTACATTGAATCAATCCACGGACATTGGTTGATTACTCTACAATGCACACATTAAAGGGAATTTCAGACTTTGTCATTAACTACTGAAGTGTAAGGAAGTGTTGAAAGGAAATGAGTGAAGCCAGCTGAGAGCACTAGGAGATGAAATCCAGAAATATTTAGAGGGGGGAGTGATGTTATGCTATACTGTAGCTCAGTGTACATTCCTTTTTTTATACTGTAGCTCAGTGTACATTCCTTTAAAAAAAACAAAAAAAACAAACCTATTAGGCCACACAGATATCCACGTAAAATGACTGTCCAGTCGCATTCTTCCCCCGTCTTACTCACAACAGTATTTCTACTCCCACCTCTGCTTGAGATTTTTGTTGGTGGTAAATGGTTCCCTTAAGGCCTACGTGTTATTCCTTGTAAGGAGATTCAGCATTCCACCACTGCTCTCTGTCTGGGCTCTAATTCAGAGTAAACACACTGTCATTGAGAAGAATATATCTTTACAGAAATCCGATAAGGCAGACAGTAGTAAGTTTGGAAAATTAAAAAAAAGCATGTACGAAAAAGAAAAAAAAAAGGTTTCACCAAGTGATTTAAATACATCAACCAGGAGGAGGAACTTGACATGTAATCAGCTAATGGGTTTGACACACAGGAGGTTCTGTGTAGCTGAACTGATCTGAAGGAATCACTGTTCCAATGACTGCTACAATTCAAACATTTAAAATAAAAACAATGTAAACAAAACTATAAAAAATAAAATAAATCAATACTTTTATATGACATAAAATCATTGGGCTTCAAAATGGAACGACACCTCTTTCTGCTTTGGTAACAACTTGTGTTGAGAGCTCTTCAAACATCGCATGTAGCTTATTAAAGATTAAAAAGGAAAGAAAAAAGAAAAGAAACTTTGCACTCAAAACGAATGTGTTGCCTGTGTGACTAACTACCATCACTGCACATTTACTGCCTTTTATGACTGTGTGTAAGGAAAAAGGCTCAATCTCAGGACACAATATCTTTGGGGGGGGGGAATAGACAGGCTCATACCACTGCCACAGTGCAACATCTATGGAAAACCTAAAGAAAGAGTATTGTATAGTTTACATTTTGTTTTACTTACCCTTGGTTGAGGTCATTCTCTGTGTTGTCCAACCATAAACGAACTGCTACTGCATTGCCCTCTCGGCACTGAGTAAAGATGTCATCCATTTTAGCTGGGGTGTTCTTTTTGAGGGAAACCCCTCTGATTAGACTAAGAACTAAATTACTAACAGAGCCTGACCAAAAGGTTTTAAACAAGTCCTGGCCACCATCAGTCTCCCATATGGAACAGTGAAGGACAATTCAGAGATGATCAACAGCTCACGGAAAACCTGATAAAAGTGACAATGAGAAAGAATTTACAATTTACAACCATGTATTGGATAATATCATCATATCTGTTGTCATCATACCCACCTCAAATGGGGGGGGGGGTATGTTGACAACACATTGCACATTGTGCAACACATTTTTATGCAGTGTCAAACCAATCCATGCTTCTATTTTACTATGCCATAAGTGTTAAATATTTAAACAAAACAATATCCAATTGGCTAATTATAAGACATGGAAGCCAAGTGTGTAAAAATACAAATGTGACTGAATGATGCAAGACTAACCAGCATCACACCCTAACTCTTAACAAATACGGACAAACCACAGCACAATATCCTACAAGGTTTATAGTTTTCTGTAAAAAAAAAAAAAAAAACAGACCCCTGAACTCTATGTTCATAAAAGATTAACCTTACAAATATGCCTATAGTTAGGCTATTTGAGTTGCATAATTATCAGGTCATGTGGCACAAAACGTATCTTTGATGTCTAAAAAAACAGCTCAAAGAGCTTGCGAAAAAGGCGATTGCAGCAGAGCGGTAAACAACTGTAATTTGAATGAAAAACGTATGAATAAACCAGTTCATTTAATTGAATAGTCGTTTTACACTATTAAAACTTGGGCTGCAGGCTAACTTTTCATTAAGCTGACGTGCAAAGAGAATTTAGCTTTTTCCTTCACAGTTTTAGCCGTCAATATAAACATTGTAGTCACATTTATTCTTATTTAGTCACTTCTACTCTTATTCAGTCAAGTGTATTAACTAACACCAGAATTATTTAGCTGCACTGCTATCGGGGGCTAATACAGGGTAACGATCAATGGAAGTTAGCAGACAACCCATTCACCTCCTGATGAGAAAATATGACTTGTTTCAAGAGAAAACATAAAATTAAAAGTATCGTAATTTGTTCGTGTGTTTATTACTATTAAATTGGCATCCCACGGTAAATACATAAGCCAGAGCCAGCTGGGTGCTAACATGCTAACACACTAATCAAGACGCAGCGGACCGTCGTGTTTCTCATTTGACGCTGAATGAGACACACACACAACCACTCACTTTATGGCCCATTCTGGTTCAAACATTTTAATTTTATAATAAACTTACCGTATGTCTTCACCTGTTACAATGTAAATGTCCAAGTGAAGGGGAACAAGTTATTAACGTTCTGTTCTAAAATCTTCAGGGGGTTCCACACCCTCCACGGTGTCTACGTCACAGGTACCAACACCTTCTACCCTCTACTGGCTGTACAGCGAACTGCAGGATAAAAAATGACGCCTCCGGGGATATATTTTTCATAATTTGTATAAAACATTACTAGCACAATGTCTGTTCTGCACTACCTATATACATGTGTATGTAGACATACTTCAAGCAATTACTCATGGCGTACAAGCTGTGTACTCTGCCAAGCAACGACATTTCGTTGCCAGACTCACTGTTTTCTTGTGTTTCTGTGCAATGACAATAAAGAAAGTCTAAGTCTATATTTAATATATGTAAATTACGGTGAACAAAGAATCCAGTAAATATGTTAAAATCGTTACATTGGGGTTTCTATGACGTTTTTGCAAGTAATAGTTCTGTGGGTTCCTCTATATTTTTCCTCTTTGCAGTTGAGTAAATATATTTGTACATACGGTATTTTCCATAGTAACAACATTAATTGTATTCGTATTTGTATACAGTATTAGTATAAAGAGAAGAAGGAAGGTTCATGGATGTAATGAGAAATTTTAGATGGTTGGTGTACAGTAGGGTATAGCAGAGGAGGGAAGATAAAGTAAAGTAAAGTTGAGGCAGGTAATCTGCCCTCTAATGGGAACAGTCAAAAAAAGAAAAGAAAAAATAAATACCAGAAAAGCAAGTAATAGAATTAGTAGTAGTAGTTGTTGTAAAGTTAGTAAAGTTTGACAGCAGTAGTAATATTCGTAAAGGGAAAAACATTGATAAAGGAAGTAATAATTATGATAGTTATAGCAGTACGCAAAGGGAAGCATAGGCAACGGAAGTAGAAGTTGTAGAAATATTAAAAACAATAATATTAAGGTGGTGGTTGGCATAGTAGTACAGTTGGTAGAATGAGTAATAATAGCAAAGCTATTATACTAAAGAAAGTATAGTAATACTTCTCAATCGTAAAAACGATTGTAGTAAATATAGTAGTTGTTGTTATGGTGGTATTAGCTAGTAATAGTGGTGGTAGTTCTAGTAGTAGTAGTAATAGTAATGGTAAAACAAAGTAAGCAGTGTAATAGTTAATAGGGAGGGATGGAGCAGGAGGACAAGCGGAACCGTAACTGTATTAACAGTAATAAAAGTTACAGGTAGTTATTGTGAAAGAATATGTCAAACATACAGTATATAAGCAAAGGAATAGTACAGAAAAAAATGGTTGGTTGGCCGCAGTGAAAATACATATCCCATAATACCCGGATATTCTGACGTCATTTACAGGCGACGTGTGTTCTGTTTTGCCGTCCACACACGAGAACGTCAACGTGGTGTACGATTTTAAAACTTGTTCAGTAGTTTAATATAGATCAACTTAAAAAAGGTGTTTTTTGGTAACCCTAAAAATGACCACCGAACTGTAGCGCGGTGTCAGATTAACAGAGCAGAGTTAACGTGGTAAGAAAGAAAGAAAGAAAATATGTTTAACGAAGAGGGAGAGTGGAGTGATGAAGAAGAGGCTCAGACACTGAGTAAATCTGTCTTTAACAAAACGCAGAAGACAAACACAAGCAGTGATGTCAAGGTAAAAAGAAAACAACCCGGTGACCTAATGATTGTTCTCATTCACGTTAATATGGATGTTTGTATTATGATTGTTTGCTATATCACTGTCACTCCGTTTCTTACCTCATAGATGGAAGTTAGATACTAAATATAGGCCTGAAATAAATTAACTAAATCTTACCTTTATGATTTGTGATCACATGAAGAAAATAGATACAGTTTACTTCTAGTTTTTCACTGACACACAACTTGATTTAGTTAAAAAAAGACATATTTACAATCAGTGTCTATAACAAACATGTCAAAAATTGGAACAGAAGCATCTGAAACGACCAGCATCGTCTGCAGCACCTTCTTACTCTTACCCCAATGTATAACCCAGCATTTGTCAGTACTATGTTAATGATGCTTCAATGGATGCTTTTATTTTTTTGAAGCAGTCGAAGAGTGTTGGTAAAAAGAGCCTGATGCGGACACTGCAAACACTGGGATCAGTGCCAGACTGGAAGAGTGAGGATCGGCAGCAGGGCAGTGACAGTGAGGCAGAAGTTTCATCACCACCCAGTAAGAAAAAGAAGAAGAGAAGAAAAAAAAGAAAACATAAGAAGACATCAGACGAGCATCAAGAAAATGGAGACTCCGGTCAGCCCACGGAGAAAAAACCAGTGGCAAAAAAAAGCAAAACAGATGAAGATGGTGAGTATTGGACTAAATAAACTGTAATGTTTATTATTTACTGCTGCTGTCGTTGTGCAGTATCGTCATGTTTTCTGTTTTTAATTTTTTTTCTGCAGGTTCCCCAGAAGTTTAAACAACTGAGGAGACAAAAGGAAAAGGAAAAATTAAATCTATCAAAGCATTAAACACAAATGAACCAGAAAACAGTGAGAGACTGAATAGAAAACAATGGAAAAACAAAATGAAAAACAAAAGGAAATGCACAAATAAATACCGCACAAACAATCCTGAGGTGGACGTGAATAAACCTGATTCAGTAGTGATAGATGAGCCGGAAGAAGTGGGAGAGCCGTGTACAATCAACAACAACAACAACAACACGCAGAAGAAGATAAAGGAGACAAAATTAAATTCACAGAAAAGGAAAAAGCCTGACAAAGCAACTGATGCAGCCCGTGTACCAAAAATACACCGTCAAACAGAGGAGAAGAAGCTGTCGGAGGAGGAGAATAAAAGTATAGAAGGCCACAAACCCACACAGGTTGAGACTGATTGTCAAAATGTACCTGTGAAAAGACTAAAACCGGAGTTAAGTAAAGAGCAGACTCTGAAAAGGGAGAAACTGAGAAGAATGCTCCAGAACAAGGACCCGGAGAAGAAAAACAAACCGGAAGAAGAACAGAAGGACGAGCCAGTGGTACCAGAGGCAACAGAGGTGAAACTGGACCGATCTGCCTCCCTCAGGTCCCGCATGGAAGAACGTTTGGATGCTGCCCGATTCCGCTACATTAATGAAGTGTTGTACAGCACGACCAGCGGTGAGGCCAGGCGCATGTTCAGACAGGATCCAGATGCTTTCTGGATCTACCACAGAGGGTACACCTCACAGGTCCAGAGGTGGCCCAGCAATCCAGTGGACGCCATCATCACATACATACAACAAAGGTGAGACGTCTTCACTGTTGTCATATCGACCTCCTGGCTTTAAAAGCAAAGGAGTGTGATTTAAATAACATGTTTTTGAATTTTAAAATTCACTTTAAATCTGCAAATCAAAAGAAGGTTACATTTTCAGCTCCTGTAATCGTCACAATTTTATTGTACTCAGCAGATCTGTGTCTGACAGTTTGCAGTGTAGCTGTGAAAAGTAAAAATGAAACCTGCTATCAGAATAAGACCTCATTAGTTTGGGCTGTTTGGAAGAAGAAGAGATAGCGAGGCTAATTTTCATAATTAAACTTGGACGTTCTCCAAGCAGGTAAAGTACCTTCCTGTGTAATATTTAGTGTTGTACACATCTCATCCTGCAGGCCACCCTCTCTGGTGGTGGCAGACTTTGGTTGTGGCGACTGTAAAATAGCGCGAAGTGTGAAGAACAAGGTGCACAGCTTCGACCTGGCAGCCACCTGTGAGCTCGTTACAGTCTGTGACATGGCCGACGTGAGTGTGGGATCGGGGATTTTGCCCTTTCTGTCTAGTACACTTTTCTTCTCTTCTTCCTGAATGTACGGAACGTGTTCTGTACCCGCAGGTTCCACTTGATGACGACTCTGTTGACATCGCGGTCTTCTGCCTGTCCCTGATGGGCACCAACCTGGCAGAGTTTTTATCAGAAGCCAACAGAGTGCTAAAGATGAGGTGATCTTATGATGTGTTCATGAGTACAACAGCCTGTGGTCAGTTTGATATTAAACTGTTTGTTGAACATGTTTCGCAGGGGCATTCTTAAAATAGCAGAAGTGGCAAGTCGATTTGACAACGTGAGGAACTTCATGTCTGCACTGGCCAAACTGGGATTCAAACTGCTCTCCAAGGTGAGACAAGAAAACATAAGTCACAGAAGTGACAATGTTAAATATTTGCCAGAATCACATTTGCATTGGCATATAAACCTTTAAAAATTGAATAAGTAACTTTTTTGTCCAATAATTCAGAAACAAGTCCTAATGAAATTATGTCATTAAAGTGACTTAATGTTCTCTCAAACATCTCTTTGTTGCTTGTCCTTTAGTGCTGTCAGAAACCAACCAAGCCAGCAGGTGGCAATCTGAATTTTTCTCAAAGATTAGATTGAACTTTATTGATCTCACAAAAAATTACACATAACACATAAATACACATAAATACAAAGCTGTTGTCAGGTAAATGTTATAGGATATTTTTGAATTTTAAACATCATTCTCTCAGAGCTGCTGTTCACAAGGCATCTCTTGTAGAAAGCAGAATTAACTGGTGGATCCAGCTGTTTACTGGACTTCCTGTCAAGTTCTTTTGTAAATGGGTGTGAGGTCCAGGCTCCGGCTTTTGTCTGTTTGCTTGTTTAATTATCAGTAGTACCTACTTTAATTTGTACCATGTTTTTTCATTCATCTAGGATACAGAGAACACTCATTTCTACTCCTTTGAATTTGAGAAGACTGAGGACGCGTCAGGAAATGTTGGACTTCAACTGAAGCCTTGTGTGTACAAGAAAAGATGAGAACGCTGGAATAAACATTTATAAAACATCTTTACACAAATTGATGTTAAACTGATTTATATACTTGGTGCATTTCTTAAACAACCCAACCCTTTTATGACTGTGGGATTTTTCTGAAATACACCTGCTCACATATGTTCCTTGTGGCCACTTTCTTTTTTCATAATTGATTTTTGAGAGCTTGTATGTTCAGTATTGTCAGCCTTGTAAAGTCAACCTGTACATGTGATATGGGAAAATAAAATGTAAGTGCACTAATCTGGTTACTCTGTATTGGCAAATAACTGAATTCTAGGAAGAAGAAAAAGTTCTATAGTCGCCAGAAATTTGTGATGTCACTGTGGTAACAGGATTTTAAACATATCAGCATAGAAAAGTAAATGGCCACAAGAGGGTGCCACAAAACAGCAAAGAATGCAGTGTGTGCCGTACAGAGACTACCATACTTTTATTTATAGGTTTACTGTCGTTGCCACAGCAGGTGTCCTCGCAAATTAAGTCAACCAAAAGGTAACACAAGGGCAGACGAAGTCACAACCAAGTGTCCCGAGTCATCTCTATTTCTGGATCTGTGTTTAAAGTACAAAACCAAAATTAAATTGGTAAAATAATGCTTTTATTGACATACCACCTGACAAGACAATGTGCAAAAAGGAGGACGTGGAAGTAATATGATCAAAAAGTGCTAAACTAAAGCATTAAAAAATATTTCAAAACTAAATTCAAGAATTTCAGTTAAAAAATAAAAAAGACAACGACAGTTGTTTCACTGGAAATTTCACATTATCATAAAAAGTCGTATTTGCGCTCTATGTCCGCTGCATTATGGACACCTGAATGCCATTTACACAATCCGTGGTCATCTTCACACTGCACTACGCACATCAATGACAATGGAGTAGCCGACCAGCTGAGCATATTCCTTACTGTCACTTTCTCTCATCACTGCCGGTTTCCTCACTTCAGGAGAGCCGGGCTCCTGGCTCAGACTGGTCAAAGCTGAGAGGTACTCGTGATCCTGAAACACAGAAAAGGCCTTTATTTTGTATTTCTGAGCTGTAGAAAGTGAATAACTGCACATTCTCTTAGAACCTCTACTAAATGCTTGCTGGTCTTCCCCTGTGTTTCAAGTAGTGGCTCCCAGACTATACAATGCAGTGCCACTGGCTCTGTGCTCATTAAAGGAGCAGCAAAAAACTCTGTGTCCGTGTATATAGCTGTGTGCCATGTGTCCATTATTAATATGCATACCATATTTTGAGAACCGCTGGTCTAATCTAAGCTGTGTAGTTAACTGGCATGTTAGTAATGATCAATCTCACCTTGTTTTGTTTCCTGCAGTTTCTTGCGCTGAAATAGAAAACATAAAAACTATTAGAAATGACTAAATGTGATGCTGAAGAAAAAGTGAAAAAATAGCAGGATGTATAAATCTTTAACATCACCAGAGATTCAACTGGTAAAAATAATTTGTAGAGGCTAAGTATCACCAATAGATGGCACCACTGCCTAATCTGATACACAGTACAAGTAGCAGGTGCGAGTGCATTATGGTGTGACAAAAATGTTGATGACAGGAGCTGGACGCTTGTCATTGATTCCTGATGTCAGGAGCAGCAGAGCCCAGTGTACAGTATGACCCTGTTGACATCAACTCAGTGAGGAGCATTTAGCTTCTAAAAGTGTCTCCGCTCCTGGATGGGAGAGACAGGAGGGGTTCATTTGCATTGATCCCAAAATAGTTTCCCTCTTGGGGAGTCATGTTTTCTTGTGTCTGCTCGTTGTACGCTCTGAGCCTGACCTTCCAAAATTAGCCTGACAGGACCCTCCCACTGGGACACAGGGATAATGGGAGCGTGTCTCTGTCAACCAATGGCACCTTGACCAAACGTTCTGACCACAGAAGCGGTGGCTCCATTGAGGTTGCGTCTGCACAGCTTGGCCTTCATTCACTCCCAGACCTGATCTGATCCGTTCCTGACGTTAAACATTCTTGAGAAAAGTTCAGGTTTGGCATTAAATGTGAAAACGTGGAAACTTCTGCAGACAGAAACCATAAACAGCTCGAAGATCGTGACTAATATCCCACATCAGTTATAAAAGACTTGTGACTCACTGATTTTTTTCCAGCAGTAATAAGATTAAGAGATGGATTTGTGAGGTTTTTTTTTCTTTTTTACACTGATGAATTGAAACTCAGATTTCATTATCCTAATGTGGACATTTTGAACCTTTTACCTTTTACTTTGGCAACATGGATGATAACGGAGGAACTTGTAGAATTTGCCAGAAGTAGCACTGTTTAGAGCCAAGCAGGAAACGGAGAATAAAACCTGTCGTTCAAAGCTCAGCGGAGAAACATTACTACCTGTCTATCTATCTGCGGTGGTGGTGGCACCTGTCTGCCACGTTCCACTTCCTGTTTATGAGTTGCTTCGAAATACTGGGGTTTCAGAGACTCCATTTAACAATCCACACATCCTGTTATTGTCATGTCATACCTGTCCTCATGTGTCCCAGCCACATGGGTACAAAGCAGACAGGGTTTTAAACAGCTGGGTCGCGTAACGTTATCAGGTACCCTTTTCTTTACTATGAGAATTTCCTGGCGCTTGTGGACATTAAATACACAAGTAGCAGTCTGCCACGCACCCCTACAGCTGCAGTCAAACAAATGTTAACTTGGCTAAACTCAAGGGACATTCAACTCACCAGCACACCCAGAGAATGATGACCAGGATTATGGCGATGGCCGAGGCTGTAGAGACGCAGATCAGTGCCACCAGTCCTGCAGTGCAGATAAATACGCTTAATGAATTGCCTGGAAGAAAAACCTCACATACCTATTTTTGTGTCCCAGAACTCCTGACAGCAGGAGTCAATAATAAAAAACCTAGAAAAACACAGAGTAATACTTTCAGGAATTTAATCGGGCCAACAACGTGTTATTCAGTGGACAACGACCCATTTTGTGGCTGTAACGCAACTTAAAGAATGTCAGCTGCAACAACACTTTTATAAAGCTGGTTTCCATATTAAAATGTGGTTTTATGGTGACTCAACACTCAGCCTACATAATGATGAGGCATTTATTTTAATTATGTTTTTCACAATTATAGTGTCTTTTACTGAGGGGACAAGAATAAAGGACATATGTGAAGAAACAAAAAGACAGGCCCTGACCGAACTGCTCGTCCTGGCTCGTGACCTCCACCTGTATCCTGACAGTGGCCCCATGGTGATAGAAGGACGCACGGCAGGTGTACAAGCCTTGGTCCTCCTCTGTGAGCCCCGACTGGAACACCACTGCAGACCCTTCCGTGTAAACAAAGACGCCATCGCTCCTGAAACACAAGCAACTGGTGAAATTAATCTGTCCTTGAAGGAAAGGAAAGGTCTGACTGTTACTTTTTATTATTATTAAATATGCTCATTTGCTTTGTTGCCAACAAAGGAGCAGAGGGAGATTGATAGCACTCCACTGCCAAGAATTTGTCCAGCGCATAAATCCACGTAAAATTCCAAATTGCCATTTTAACACATGGTTTTTGCACAAAATAAACAGCCATTAAAATGCTGAGGATTTGGTGAGCAGTGTGTATGCCGTGGAGGTTTATAGAACGTTCTGGATAAAGGCAGAGTGGTTTAACCTTTGGTTGCTTTACGGCTGAGGCTTTTGTGGTGTTAGTCACAGTACGGCAGGTCCTCGGCTCATAACAGAGAAAGTCATCACGCAGTGCTACATGTGGAAGGTGGTTTTGTTTACATTCGATGGCGATGTACGACATCCAGCACAGCGGATTGCGCTACATTCACTTTCTTTAATTTGTGTTTTTTGGGGAGGGGGGACTTTTAGCCCTTCATTATTAAGTCAGACTCTTCTGATGTTTTAATGTCCTAGATTATGATGTTACCACTGTGTTAGTGTAGGTGAGTGACATAGGGACTTATGGACAGGACGTGAGTTCGTTCAAAAATATGGATTTGGCGTTCAAAATAATTTATTAGTTTTCCGCATACAATTTTACCACACAGTTCTGTTTAAAGTATAAACTTTACTGCATACTTTACTGTGGGAGATTATGGGATGTACTGATTTAAGATTTCCCAAAAACACATAATCTTTTAAGACCTAAGCAGGTGTAGGTTTTATTAGTCGAGTCCTTTATCGATGCAGATAAAACTTCCTTTATTTCTCTTGCCGTTTAACTATGTCTTCATTTTCAAAAGTGTCCACTAATAAGGAGCAAACAACACATTTTAGACCCGTGGATCTTAGGGTTCCAGCCTTTGGTGTAAGTGCTGTCCTGTGACAACAACAGTGATCTCTCACCTTGTGCAGCTGAGGTCATAGTGAGGCACGTTGCCATCTACTTCCAGCAGTATTCTCTGGCTGTGATGTTGACTCCGAAGGCTCAGTATGCGTGTATTGAGAGCGCAGCCATATCGGTCCCGGAGAACAGTGGTGTGGTTGACGACTCTCACAGCTGAGATGTCTGCACAAAAAAACACTCCAACCATCAATCTGCGGATGCCTTTATGGATCCGTGTGGTTTGAACGTACTTCTCTGATTTTCACAGTCTACTCACAGTACTTGGGGATATGCACAGTCCTCCTCTCCGTGACCCCGTGTGTAACTCGGCACACACAGGTCAGATCCTGGCCTTCATGACGAGCCAGAGGAAACTGATAAGCCAGCCTGGCCTTCAAGGAGTGGCCCTCAGTCTCTGTGTGCAGTGATTCTTCATCTTCAGTATTTTTGGGAAGCACCCAGGTGAGGATCTGCCCCACACCCCCTCCTCTGCTTTCACACACAGCCATCCAGTTGTGAGAGTCTTGTAGTCTCACCACAGAAACACTCAGCAGTGGAGCTTCTGAAGGTAAATTAAAAGTGTTAATGTTGAGGATGAGCATCTGTCAGGGGGGGGGGGGGGAAAGAAACATCTCTAGGAATAAGTGTGACGTACTCTGTGCTGGGATGTTTATAGTTTGACGCTCAGACATCTCTGAGATCGGATGCTCCACTGTACACGTCACATTCTGACCAGCGTACAGAGATGACGAGAGGTGCACGGTGCTGCGGACTGACACCGAACCATCAGCCTGGATCTGGGTCTCAGAAAGGTTACTGGTGAAGCCGAAGTCCCCGCTGCCAATGTACCAGTTTATAACTGGAGCCGGGGCAACGCTGACTGCAAAGCAGTCCACCTCTGTGAACTGCTCACGCTCCCTCCACTCAGTGCTGGAGTTAATGGTGATGTTTGTACGAGCTGCAAGGGAGTGAGAAGTTAAAGCACAGGAAGTGAGCGGCTCTCACATTAAAAATATATGGTGAAGTATATATGGCCAAAAATGTGGGCTATACTCTGGATGAAATTTTCCTCGCACTTGATTTGTTGAACGTACCGCAAAGCGGGAGTGTTACGCTTCTGTTCTCTGGCTCCTCAAACGCTGGGTGATTTATCACACACTCTGCAGTGAGCTCTCGAGGCGAACACGCAGGGAGCAGAAAAACTTCCCTGACAGAGTAGCTTCCATTATGAGAAGTGAAATTGGACCAAGAGACTACAGACACACCCGCCGGTAGGAGCCAGGACACGCTGGCTGCAGGAACGGCATCGAGCGCCGAGCATTCAATCACACTGTGTCCACCTTTAGTCTGCACGTCAACCCGTACGGTGGGAAGAACTGAGGAGACGGTTCCACGATGAAGTCTCGTGTAGTTTAGGAAAAGGAAACGTAAATTGTGCAACTTCACTCACCACTGTGAACTACTGAGGGCTGAACTGTGATGTTCAGCTGCAGAGCCACTTGAAGGTGATAGTAGGAGACAACACATTCATACAGACCAGCGTGCTGCTGACGGACAGGACCACCAACTGTAAGGTTACTGCCAATGAGCTCAACATCCACTGGCAGAGGCCCGTCGTCTCTAAAAAACAAAAGGAGGAAAAACAATGAATGTTTAAATCTGAGGTTTTACCACTGGAGTGGAAATTCTTGTTTTTCAGGTAGGATATCAGTCTGCGTCTGGTTCCTGTTGTCTGTCACCTGTGGTTTGATGCCACCATACCACTTCCTTCTTTCACTTTATACAGTAGGTGTGTAAACAAGGAGGAAAAAAAAGAAGAAAAAAAGAGTTGAATCAAGTCGTAAAAAAAAGAAGCAGCCACACACACACACACTCACACACACTCACACACATACCGGTCCCAGGATCTGATCTCATGTAGTGTTTTTGAAGCTCTGTGAGTCACAGATGAGGTCAATAACTGACTTTTCTTTTCCAATTACCATCATAGATCTGCTGGCGTTCCACCCTGAACAGTCCACATGTTAGTGAATTGTTGTTTCCTCTTTGTCTTTTTTATTTTTTTATTTTTTCAAATGAATCCTCTTCTTCAGAGACTGAATGTTGCACTTGATTAAGTTCTGGTCAAAGTCAGGGCTGCCAGGCACACTAGACTTTTTCAGGTCTGACTGAAGTTATTTTGACTTTGAATAAATAACAAAACATATTTTCTTAGTATTAAGAGTCCAGAACACTGGACTGTACAAAGGGGTTGGATGTGGTTCTCCATAGTTATTGGTGAATCATAGAGAGAGACTAAAAAAGAGCTCTAACTGGTCGGCCCCACTCTAACTAGATTTAGATTGAACACCAAGCATAAAACATGGTGTACAGGAAGCACATTACAAACACAATACATGGAGCTCAGTTCAAACACGGGCCAATCAGGGTGAGGATTGACTTTATAAGACTGAGACGTATTTATCAAGAAAAGAAAGAGAATGAGACAGTAGATTTGGACCGTGGACGTGGACCGACCACAGTACGTCACAACTGCGTCTCTTTGCCAGTGGTTGGTACAAGATAAAACACTTGAGGTTCACAAGCTACGGCTACGCAGGGCTGTTAGTCAGTGAGACAGAGGTAAGTATTTCGTCCAGTATTTATTTTTTGTCTTAGTTTTGCTGTCCAACATCTACATTCACAATCCACTAGGAAAATTCTCAAAGCTGACATGTCTTTGTTGGACCAAAAGTCCTTTTTTTTCTACTGGAAGTTCCCAGCGACCATGAACAGCTGTGCTGCTTAATAACCAGTCTATATTTCTTCTTTAAAACAATTGGCTGATCGGCTCTTACTTTTTGCAGGTGACGTTGTAACGTGGCACGTTCCCAGTGACCACCAGGCCAATGACCACGTCGCTCTGTTCCTCCTGCAGCTCTACGTTTTCAGGACCTCCAAATGTGTCGCTGTTCATTTTCTGTTCTGAGTCCAGCAGCTGAACTCCAGTCAACGCTGTGGATGAGAAAGAATGTTTGTGGTTAGTGAAGCGTTTCCCTCCTGAGCATCAGCGGGGTTTTGATTAAACACTGATATCACTTACAGAGAGACGGCAGTGTTACGAGCCGCGACTCCCCGTGTGAAAATTTGGGATGATCAAACACACAGGTGACGTTGTGGCCTCCATACGCCGTCACAGGAAGTAGGACCGAGCGTGTCTCCACGTCTGAGTCACTTCTGTTTTCACTCTGCAGCTCCTCGCCATCGTTCAATGCCAGGGAGATGTCGGTGTCAGGTCTCCCTCCAGATGAAACGCATGAGACCACCCAGAACTCACTTCCTTCTCTTTGTATCATTTCTGTTTTGACCGTCACATTTGGCTTCACTGTACAGCAGGAAGAAAGGCGAGAAAAGTTATTCTTTCACAGGAGCTAATGTTTTTTCCAGCTAATAAAAAGTCAGCTATCGAGTGAAGTCCTGGTGTGTTTTTGTGTTTGAATAGGAAGCTCAGGCCGGATGAGCTGAGCGTTAGTTAAACACAGAGCAGAGGAGGCGGCTGCTCAGGCTGTAAGTCAGAGTGCTGACTTACACTTATCACCTGTCTCATCTGTTGGCCGAGCTGCGGCTCGGAGCAGATGTCTCGCACAGCTGGCCTTCCAGCCGAAGCTGAGGAAGCCGCGGGATTTAGTAGCAGAGCTCAGCAGAGATCACAAACTGGTATCAAACACATGAAAGCAGGGCTGTCATGTGATCGCCGGTCAACTCTAATGAGCTAGAGAAGTCACATAATGGCTCATAAATGGCTTTAAACATTCCATCTGTTCACACCTGAAGTTCTGTACGATAGAACATGATTAGTGCTTCAGTGCAGTGTGATTAAAGCGAGGATAAATAAGCTGTTTGACAGTGGCTTATGGTCATTAGATCATAATCACACAGGCTGGCTACTGGCACGTAGCACTTACTAGCACGTAGCCTCTGCATGTTTCTCACTGCCTGAGGACTGAAGAGAAGACAGGCTGCACTTTAACTTTAAGGACCAACTTTTAGACATTTTGTTATTTTTGTCTTGTCAGCAAATTTCTTGCCAACTGAGTTTACTTGGGGCTATCTGGTATGATGTAATGTTGAGGTGTTTTAGCTTTAATTTTGGCTAGCTCAGTTTTTTTTTTTGTGGTTAACTTCTAGCTACATACAAGGTTTTATGAGGTTACTTTTTTTAAGAACCTGTTTCTTTTGTTGGACACACACACAACTGTTTTTGCAATATTTAGATTTCATTCAGCTGTGTTTTTATATTTCAGGTTAATTTTGATTAATTCTAGGATAACATCTATTTCGAAAGATTAACTTTGATATATTTCTGATCAAAATTTCATCTATCACTTGGATATGTTTGTTATTTTTTGGCTATCATTTACCAAGAAAAATACACCTGAACATGCATAAAAGCTAGTACATAAGAACATTTAAGAAAATAAAACTGCTTCATTGTTACTTAATAGCAGTATTTATGAACTATATACTCAAAAATAGCGTTTAGTAGTACTTCAAATTCACCTGATAGAAGTCAAACTCTGACTAAAAATCAACTTGCTGTCAAATCCAGCGCTGTCATTCATGTTTCCCTCCTAGCTTGGTCTCAGATGTCACTTGGTCCTGTTTAATTTTAGGTCTCAGTCTTTGTGTCTCTACCTAGGTCGTCTCCTTCCTCTAGAGACACTTGAGTTTCTCGCCTGTGCAGTCGCCTGTCTCTGCCATGCTGTGTTTCCTGTCTTTGTGATTACATGCCCTTTGTCTAATCAGCGCCACCTGTGCCATTTTACCTTTGTATTACAACTGTTGTATCTCTGATGCCTAATTCCTCTGTGTTCTGACACTTTGTGTCTGTCTGAGTACTCTGTGATGTACTCCATCTGCCAGTACAGCTTCCTGAAGTTTTCTCTCCTGCCTCTGAGTCCTACTGTGGTACCTGGCTGTCACTCTGGCTTCATCTCTTGTTCAGTCATGATCTGACTGTAATACATCTGTGTTTTATAACTTATTTCACTACAGTGTGCTTTTATCAAATGCAATTGTAAAAGAGCCCACACGCCTTAAACCTGAAAGTAAGACTGACATAGGATGACAGTTCAAAGATGGCTTTAATAACTCAGGCAATAACTCAAACAGAGCAACGCGGCAGATGATTGACGGCACAGAACCTCCAGGAAAAAGGCAGAGACTGAAGCAG